GGCTCAAGCGGCCAAGAAGACGTGTGGATCATGTCAAGCTTGGCCAGGGGACTAGAAAATCTTTTTACGCTGAAAATGTGTGCTCTACAGTTGGGTTCAGAAACAATAGTAGGAAGTTATTAACGGATTTTACCTCTTGTAAGACCAAGAAAGCAGAGCGGTTGCTGAGGCAAATGGAATGATGGTATAAGATGGTCGAAACGATAACATCATGTAATTAATACAAAAAATGTTTCATTAGTCTAGTATAAAGTATGTCGAGCAGCAGCGGTAGTGGCGTGAAAACACTTACGTTTGACCTCTTTTAGCAACAGAATGGTGCAGAGGTTGGTAAAGAACCGTTCGCTCCTATGGTGCAAACTGTATTAGTGTCCAATATGTAACATCAGTTAGAGGTTGCTCGTTCCTGTCTGCAATTCCGAGGAATGTTCTTGTGTGTCTTTTGTACATTTTGAAACTCCAGTCAGCTGTTTTATTTTTTCGCTAAAAGAAAATCTTGATTTATGTCTTTCAAATAAAGGAATTTAAAAATTTGGAGTGCTTGCTGATCGATCAGAAGCAAGTAACAAAGGTTCTTGAATTAGCAGAGCGCGACAAAACGGTGGATAGTTTTTACGTACAGATTCATTCATGTAGAACTGTAAAAGTGCTCTTTTTGTCCTATATTTTCATTCATGGCCCTGAACGATTTTTTGTCAGAGAGACTCAATGGTGTTTGCGCCACCACCGGTCTTATTATCAATGAGGTGGCGCCCGTGGTCAACAGTGTTGTGTTACTTCTTTTCTAGCATACCGTTGGTAGTACTCTACACCGCCTACTGATAAAACGCCACAGTTGTTTCTGGAAAAATAAACTGTCTCTTCAGTGGCAGAAAGATTGTAGCCTGACGTTTTCCTGAAGGCAAGAAACATTTTTTGGTCCCTCGCTCAATGCCAATAAAACAGCATTGTTTCTTCATTATCCTACCCCTTCTGTATCTTCTAATGACGAAGCGTTTTGTCAATCTCCACTACTTCAACAAAACCCCACGATTGTTAAAAGATTCGTCCTTAATTGCTCCGTGCAAACATATCTGAAAAGAACTACGTAATGTATTATAGTTTAAGAGCTGAGCTTGCGGCCCGTTTCATTTCTTCTATCATATTAGCTGCTGTGCTACCGTATGTGAGCCCCTGCTGCTTCACTCTATACGAAGATAACCAAAAGACATTCTTTGAACTCAAGTTGGTTTTTTTAGATAATCAGTCGTTATAATAACCAAGTTCCTTGCGGCACTCTGAACC